GAATGAATGAATATTCAGCAACATTTCGGCAAATTTATTATTTTTAGGTTCAATTGTACCTGCCTCAAACAAACGTACAAAAGAATTTTAAGTGTTTATTCTTGACACAAACTAATTGTTCAAATGAAACATTTTCTTATTTTTTAATATGTCGGCCTGCGTGGTCGAGTGGCTCTGAGGTCCCGGGTTCGATCCCCGGCCAGTGTAGAAACTAACTTTTCTATATTGTCTCGGGTCTGGGTGTTTGTGGAACCGTCGTTGTTTCCGATTTCCATAACACAAGTGCTTTAGCTACTGACTTTGGGATCAGAGTAACGTACCTGTGTGATGTTGTCCATTACTATTATTTAATCACATTTAATTTTAGAATTCATATTGTAGCGGATAACACTTAGCAAATGAACCTAAAAATACAATCACCAGGTCAGAGTAAAACCTGGGTAATACCCAGGTTTTACTCTGACCTGGTGAAATAAACCCTTTAGTAGGTTAGGTTAGCACAAGTCAGAAGTGAATTTGTTTGCATTATCGAACAAATTATCGGAGTTTTTGAGAAATAAGTTTAATTTTTATAATTAAGTAAAACCCATGTAGAAGTATAACTATGATTGTATTAAAATTCCCCTTTTGCTAAGAATGAAGTGCATTTTAATTGAATTAAGTCAACCAAAACAGATAAAGTTTTTTCACCTCTCTAGCTCGGAAAGGTTTTCTTTCACAATAGAAATCTAGCGTGGAAAAGGTTTTTGAAATTCGAACTTGACGATGGACTGTGGTGCACTCAGCTTTTTCTTTCGATAAAAAAAAAGATTATGACAAGTTCAACTACGCGATTTGCATTACTTATATAAGTAATATAAATCCGTTGGTATATTTTATTCTTATTATTGTTGACAATGATAACTAATTGTGCTTATTAAATTATTTTAATTCGTCGAAGAACTAAATAATTTCAATAATCACTTAATCACACAAAATTATAAGTAGAAGCAAGAATAAAAATTGATGAGGTGCAAATTCAGAACGCATCCGAAGGTAAACTTTTTCTTTTGATTAAAAAAACTGTCTAATATTTAAAGTTCTCTTTTTCTTTCATCTGCCATTTTTCTCGCTGTAATGAGGTGAAAAATTGTGTTTCGCTTGGCAGCAAAGTTGCTTTGGGTCTCGTGTCTTGAAACCCTCGCTACGCTCTGGAATCTATTTTTGAAACAAGAGCGAAGCGAATGTAATCTTAGCTTCCTTCGCTTGCTCAGGTTTCAATACAAGCACTCGCGTCGAAAAAACAACTTTGCAGCCTTGCATAACAAATAACTTTTTCCAGGGTAAAGTAATAGAGATGGGTGGGTTTGTGTACAGCTTCCAAGTCCAATTCGTGGAAGAAAATAACGTAATTTATATCTTATTTATGAGATTTCCAATAGGTCAATAGTACATTTTTTGCGATGAAATATTAATAAAGCGTAAAGAGTAAATGTCGTTTGTGTAAAATAAAATTTATATGACCTATGTAAAACATTAAGGCGAGAAAGAAGAAAGAATCAACTTTTATACAATAAATTGAGTCACTATACACTCATAAATCTAAGAGTGGTTGCACACGGCGACTGTTAGCAGTGATGCCAACGCGCGTTCGTGAAACGTGCGAATGCATCGCTTCACTTGCGATTTAAAGGCGATTGCACCGATGCAGTAACGCGCTTGCTCGCGTTTGCATCGTAAATTAAAATCGCGCACGTTTGTAAAGTACGATTGGCGACTGCATCGCGTTTGCATCGCGTTTGTATCGCTGCTAAAAGTCACCGTGTGTATCCGCTGTAATACATAACAACAAAACAATAGGTACGTGGGGCGCACTACAAGTTTCCGGAATGAATAAGAAAAAATACCATAAATGGTCAGAAATGAATTTAATGTTTTTCAAAATATTATCCGTTACCGTTAATGCACTTTTCATGCGAATGAACCAATTTTGAAAACATTTATGACACTCCTCCGTAAAAATCTCTGAAACATGTTGAAAAATCTCTGAAGCTCTGTTTCATACTCTTCGACAGCCTCTTCAGGTGATGAAAATCGTTGATCGCGTAACTGGATCTTAATTTTTGGAAATAAAAATGGTCGGGACTGTATGCGAGATGGCTCATAAGGTCAACGTTGTTCGTTCATCTTCAAAAATTCATATGTCTGTCTGGCCGTGTGAGAACTGGCATTATCGTGGTGCAATATCATACGGCGTTTACGGTTATTTTTACGGAGTTTGTCAATAACTCCGGCAAACAAATGATGGTGGTCCAATCACTATTCACGGTACAACGATTCTCCAAAGCAACAGCAGCCACGTTTCCAGTTTTATTAAAAAAAGATGTAATCATCCGCTTAGAGGCGCTTTGCACGCGCGCCTCTTTGGTTGGTTTCGGCTCATCTCGAAAGACCAATAAGCTCGATTGCTGCTTTGTTTTGGGATCGTAACTATAAATCCATGTTTCGTCACCTGTTACTATGTCCCACACCAAATTTGATGCCCCTTCGTTGAATCTGGTAAGCATGGCAGTGCACCAAGTGACGCGATCCGTTTTTTGAGCCTCAGTCAAATTGTGTGGGATTTACCAAGAGCACAGCTTTTTCTCACCCAAATGTTTGTGTAATATCGATTGTATTTAACTCATGCCTATGCCTAAAGAAACCTATAGTGCGCCCTATGTAACTGAGTAACATTTAGCTTAGTAGATGTGCATAGTGGTGTAATAGACAAAAGGACAGTCAGCAAAATGTCTATCTCGGGCGAGATGGACGTTGATTTTCCGCCGTTCCCTGGTCCTGTACTGTCGTTCTTCATTCAACATCCGTTCGAAAGAATTAATGTCAAATAAGTAATATTCGACCAAATTAAAAGTAATCGTTTCGGACGTATGTCAGACGGAGAACGAATATAGACCCCCTGTTTCAGCGTCGACTAAATCCTAAGAAAATGATAGACTGAGTCATAAGTTGACTAGGATACTCTTGTGTGCCCCATTAGGTACACATTTACGATGCACGTGTAATAATTATATAAATAGCTTAAAGATTGATGTTATTTATAAAGCAGTACTACAATAGAAATACAGTCTTATATTATGTTTGTAAGCGTAATAAAAAAAGATACAATTTACCCGCCAAGTAGTAACGTCAGTATTAATGTGTTCCGGTTTCGAAGGATAGGGGTGCTGGTGAAATTACAAGCACATGGGACTCGTCAACTTATGTCTCAGGGTGTTGGGCGCAGTGGCAGTGCCCCTCAGATCTTTGTGATTTAAAACTTTGAGTGGCGCTACAACTGTTATGAAAAGACGTGTCGCTTACCACCAGGCGTACGACTCATTCATCCCGCAACTTAGTATTATAAAAAAAACGTACATACAACGAAAAACCATCTCCTATTTTGAAGTTGGGGAAAAATAGGTGACTCGTGCGTGTCTTTGGCATTTTATCGAAAGCAAAAATTTTACTTTTTAAATAGAGAAAACTTTACCGTATATATATGTACAGATGGATTTTTATAAATTATATTATATTGATTAGAATGATACTGTACTTTATCATTGTATTTGTGCATACAAGTAGGTAAGCTTTAAGAACTTTGGTTGAGATTGGTGCCAACTGCCTTCGTCGCCGAACGGTTACCATGCCATGACTGCCACGCAGAGGTCCTGGGTTCGATTTCCAGGTCGAGACAAATATATATGTATATATATGGTCTACATTTATTTCTCTCGTGAGTTTGGGTACAATTTGTGGTTGTCTATATCCATGGCACCCGCGACACAGGGTTAGTGCGGGGCTATGAGTGTGTTGTGTTATTATTATTTACTTTATTCTTCTCAGCTTGTTAGCTTGTTATTACTAACTGATGCTTAAACTATGAATTGATACTTAAATGAGCTTTTGTTAAGTCTATTATTGTTAAACACTTGTTAATAGTTTTTTTTAATTTTAATATTATTACCAATGACCGGAATCGGTGGAGTAAACCTATCTAAAGTATGAACGTTTTCTTAATATAGATATACCGATTTTGTCAATAAATATAAAATTTCTTTTTTTAGTGTTTATTTTATAAACATTCCAAATTATAGGTTGTCTCATGTTTGTATTTTAAATGGCTAAAGTATTTAAATACGTAATTAATCTAGAAACACAATTACAGTATTATTTTTTGAGACAATAATTTGTAGTAAATACTTGAAAGTAAATAATAAATTTTCACCAATGTACGAAATTTTTTATACATAATACGCATATTCTGATATAAACAGTTCCGAGAAGTCTCGGGATTTGTAGAAGGGAATGTCTTTGTTATTCTTTAGTTACATTATTAAATAATATTTTACAAGTAATTGAGATTGTTTTTATGAGAGTATTTAATTTAATTTAATTGAGATTGTTTTTATTTTCTATGCTTTATTTTTTATTTTATTATTTATTATTATATTCTTTGCTATGCCTTTTCAGAGTATCATATAATAGGACCTAGCTATATGTTATTTAAGATCTTTTTAAACTTTATATGGAGTAATAAATTGAATTCTAATCTACTCTTACCCGAACAGGTCATGTCGAAGATGTTATATGTTATGTTAGATACCGACCCATTGTTGCTAGCTAAATTCGTCATACTTGATAATTCGAAATAATTTGGCACTCGCTGACGTCCGAGGGAAGTGAAACTTCAGGATTTGCAGATATCGGTGATATATAAAAAGGTTGCGCGAGCGCATGAAAGCTGCTAAACATCGTAACAACCGTCAGTTACTCTTCGACCATCGAACAAAGCGGCGGTGGGAGGCTCCTCTGCTATCGAAATTTGAAAACAATGGAAAGATAACGAGTATCTCGTTCTTATATCGTTGCAGTATATTATAAAATCGCGTAGTTTCATTATATTTTCACTGTGTATTTGTTTTTCGAGTTGCGATAAAATATTCAAAAATTCTTAAAAAGATTTGGAAAAGTTGAAAAACATCATCAACAAAATTATGGTAAGTAATTGTATAATTATTTACAACTAAAATAACGGCACACACGAAAACCTATATTTTTCAAAGCGTTTTAACGTAAAATTAATATTTTATATATTTACAAAGAAAAACTTGTATCTGGCAAACTTTTATATTTGTATTATATTAATACACTACTATATTTAGTCTCTTTTTTTAATGAGATATGGCGTTTTATACGCCACCTTTATCAAATATTCGCAAAAAAATATAGTGTAAGGTATCATAGCTCAAAGCCACCCTTGTACAATGCGCATCGAGAACTTGATATAAGTTTTGGTCCAAATTAATATTATAAATGCGAAAGTAAAGGTACTACGTCTGTTATTAATTCACGCCTTAACTGCTGAATCAATATTATTAATTTTGGTATAGAGATAGATGGGACTTAAGAGAAGGACATAGGATAGTTTTTGTCACAAAAACAAATCTTAACACGTTCATCGCCGTGGTGGGTCAAAATGACCGGCATCTCATCTCCCTATTGTGGCCGCAGGGGCTTAAAATGACAGGCACGACACACCTAACTTAGCGATGCTCGTTAGCCCTTTATATTATTATTTAGCTGTATAACATGATCGGCGTGGCCCTGACTAAATTAGGCAGTCACTGGGGTTTTAGGATTTTTGACAGCATATCTACTTTTCTAGACTAAGAGGAAAAAAATATATATTTCGTATAAATAAAAATTACTTTAATTTCAAATTGAATTTAAAACTTAGAAATTAAGAAAAAAAAAATGGTTTACGTGAAATGTCAATCTCAACTCAAAGTCGTATGTCAGTTTTATATAAACATCGATTGAACATTAGGTATGTGTACGTACTCTATCGGGAATGGGGACCGGAACACCGAAATGTGAAATGACCACCACCAAAAGTAATCCCAAAATGAAGCCAAATTTTCTTTTTTTTATAATATCGAGTGACGGGACGAACAAGTCGTGCACCTGATGGTAAGCTGCGCTGTCCATAACAGTTGTAGTGCCACTCAGACCTTTAAATCACAAAAATCTGAGGGGCACTGCCACTGCGCCCGTCATCCTGAGACATAAGTTGACAAGTCCCGTGTGCCTGTAATTTCGCCCTTGGCCTTCACAACAGGAAAACAGAAATGCTGATATTACAGAAACAGGTAAATATTGCGAAAAAACTTATATAATAATATATAATACAAATGATATCAAAAACAGTCATTTAGTCAATGTCATTTTTTGAACATTTTTGAAAATTCTAGTCAGCGACGAACTTTCTAAAGGGGGTGATATAGGGGATAATTAAATATAAAAAAAACAAAATAAAAAAAACGAGATAGGTGTAGAAAAACCTGAATTACGGGTCACCAGACTTCCACACTGCAGTTGAGCAATTTGGTTGTGGCACTGAGGTTGTGACAAAGGATAAAATATATAAAAGTTAGTGGAATATTCCTGATTTAGAATAATAAAAGTACTAGTGAACTAAACTAAGTATTTAAAAAACCCTCTCAAGGTTTAACACTAAGTTAACTCACAATATGAAAAGTGTGAGAATGAGTGTTTATAAGGTGAATGTGTTACTGATTAGGTGTGTAAGACAATACGTACGTACAATACGTATGGGGTATGTGGAATGTATAGTGTGCGAATGTGTTGAGGCGAGAGAACTACGACTTGGGAATAGTTAAATGAGAGATGTTTTATTTGAGGATAAGAAGAAGTTGCTCAGTCTCCTCATAATTTTGGGTTTTAATCCAATCGGATACAGTTTTTTGCAGAGATTTTGGGAGAGCGTAAAAAGAAAGCTTTGTTGTACAAGTAGGGAGCGAGGAAACAGAAGAAATGTTGGGAAAAACTAGTATTAACAGAATGGGATTGGTAGACCGTACCCTTTCTACGTTTATCCTTGGTGATATTAGGATCAAATGCAAGTAGGGAGAGCTTTTTGAGGACGGTGTTACATACAAATAGTTGTCTAACGGTAAGCACATCCCATAGCTTATAGAGTTCGCTAGTTGGGTAACGGTAGGGAAGACCAGCTTTCACCTTTAAAATAGCTCGTTGAGCCCGTTCCAGTTCAATAAGATGAGTTTTAGAGGCTCCACCCCATGACGTTATACAATACCCTAAACTGATTGGCAAAGGGCAAAGTAGACAGTGGTCAGAGTTTTCCGGTCAGCCACATACCGTAACGTCCTGAAATGTAAATAACCTTGCGGAGACGAGGTACTACAGAGTCTATATGGGGTTTGAAAGTAAGAGAATGATCTATGATAATGCCTAGGTATCGAATTCATTCAGTTCTAATAATATCAGGACAAGGGCAGTCTAGGTGATTAAGGTTACAAGATGTATGCACCCTGAGAGTTAAATCCAACGACGGCAGAAGATGGGATCTAAGTGCAAAAGCCATATATTTGGTTATTAAAACATTCAGGGTTAACAGATTCTGTCGCAGCCAGGTGCACACGACGTTGAGACCATTCTGCCCAGAGGCAAAGACCTCACTCCAGCTCCATACACTGACGAAAAGCGCCGTATCATCAGCGAAGGTCAGAATTCTGATATAGGGAAGCTTAAGGTTGCACAGGGTGTTAATAAAGATCAAAAACAAGGTAGGCCCAACAATACTACCTTGGGGGAGGCCGTAGGCAACGGGGTGTTCATCGCTCAGCCAATGATCGATCCCAACACACTGTTTCCGGTCAGTCAAGTAATCCCTGAAAACATCAAGAGGAATTCCTCTCACCCCCAGCTCCTCGAGCCTGCAAATGAGATAGGGTACAGAAACTGTATCAAATGCTTTTGCTAAGTCGAGAAATATAGTAAGACATTTCCTTTTATTGTCAAGGTTGGTCACTATAGAATCGACCAGTTCATGAACGGCATCATTAGTGGATAATCTAGTACGGAAACCAAATTGAGAAGGTGATATTAGGTTGTGAGATTCTAAGTAACCGATAAGCCTTTTGTTCATAATCCGTTCAAGAATTTTAGACATTGCTGGAAGAATGGAGATGGGTCTAAAATTATTGGCACAGCTTCTGTCTTCACCCTTGTGAATAGGCTTTATGAGCGCAGTCTTGAATGCCCGAGGGAAGACACCGGTTGAGAGAGCTAAGTTGCAGGTGTGTGAGATTGGTAAAGCGTGAATTTGCACATATCTCTTTAAAAACCTGCCCGACACCTGATCCAGACCCACAGCATATATTAAAGTTATCAACATAATTCTGCCCTCATAACGAAAAAAGACACAACTGCTGTATAAAATAGGCATAGTTATGCTTTTTTTCGTTACGAGGGCAGAATTAAACTAAACAACAATACAAGGAAGAATTCTATAATACAAAACATTTACATATTTTTACACACTCCTGTATCCCTCGCAACAACTTACATTAAAAAATAATACCTGTAGTATCAAGTTTAATTACTTCGAGATCATACGATAACAATTTTAATAATCTCGTTAAGATAACTGTGCCTCTATTGTGGTTTCAAAAAATATTAATAACTTGTTTGTACTTAGAATTTAAATAAAGTTTTGACATAACTACGATATTGAAATAAAAATGATTTGAAAATAATAAGTATTGCAATAAAAATGATTTGAAAGTTTGAACCATTAGTCGATAATATATGAGCATAATTTTATTAAGTTCTACGTCTTCTGATTATTTTTTAAGTGTATTAAAACATCTCTAGGTTGCCTAATAAAGATTGATTTGAAAGTTTGAACCACATTAGTCGATAATATATGAGCATAATTTTATTAAGTTCTACGTCTTCTGATTATTTTTTAAGTGTATTAAAACATCTCTAGGTTGCCTAATTAAGATAGCTATCTACGTATAAAATCGTTGAGTCAATCAATTATGATATTAAATTATTTTTGTGAAATTACTCCACTAGTTAGTTATAGTTACAAAGATCAAACACTGAGAAAAAAAACCAGTGTCTTCGAGCAACCGTGCTAGACGCTAAGTCAACCACCATTTCATTCGTCATCACCAGATCATCAATCGCGATTATCATTTTAATAGCCAATATTATAATATATGTATATGGTAGCAGCAGTACAACTCCTTGTGAAAGAGTTTGTACAGGGAAATCTAAACTGCCGCCGTTGCCGAACGGTTACCACGCCGGACTGCCACGCAGAGGTTTCGATTTCCAGGCCGGGAGAAATATGCCTATGGCCTACATTTATTTCTCTCGTGAGTTTGGGTATACAGGGTTTCCCTAGTGCGACTATGTTGAGTGTGTGCATTGTTATTATTATTTATTGATACTTAAAAGATGGATTGATACTCAAATGAGTGATGACAATACAACTGGGCGCCTTTTCGACATGCACCACGGTCACTTTTTGTTAAGTCTATTATTGTAAACACCTGTTAATGTTTTTTTTTAAATTTTAATATTATTACCAATGACCAGAATCGGTGGAGTTAACCAACCTAAAATATGAACGTTTTCTTAATATGGATATACCGATTTTATCATCAATACAGATATAACTTCTTTTTTTTTCCTGTTTATTTTCTAAACATTCAAAATTATAGGTTGTCTCACGTCTGTATTTTAAATGGCTAAAGTATTTAAATACGTAATTAAATATAGAAACACAATTACAGTATTATTTTTTGCGACAATAATTTGTAGTAAATACTTGAAAGGAAATAATAATTTTTCACCAATGTACGAAATTTTTTATAAATAATACGCATATTCAAATATAAACAGTTCCGAGACGCCCCGGGATTTGTGGAAGGGAATGTCTATGTTATTCTTTAGTTACATTATTACATAATATTTTACAAGTAATCGAGATTGTTTTTATGAGAGTATTTGATTTAATGTAATTGAGATTGCTTTTATGCAGACGTGCTAGGTACGAATTGTATGGCCCACGTTTATTTATCTCGTGAGTTTGGGTATAATTTGTGGTGGTCTATGTTGTTTTCTTTTATAACATCAGGTGACGGGACGCACAAGTCGTGCG